GGCCCGGCTGAGGGACCGGCCCGGCTGAGGGACAGGCCCGGAGGCCCCAGGAGCTGCGGCGGGGGACACTTGCCTGGGGAAGCAGAAGCCGCCCGTAGCAGCGGGACCCCCGCCCGCAGCGCCCGCAGCAGCAGCTGCCGCATGCCCGGCGCCGGCCCCGCCGCTGCCCCGGAAGCGCCCGGCGGGGCGCGGGGCGGAGCGCAGCGGGCATGGCGGCGGCGGCGGCCGAACTGGCCGGGCTCTTCGCCGTGTACAAACCGGCGGGGGTGGCRTGGAGCCGCGTCCGGGAGGCGCTGGAGACGCGGCTGCTGCGCGGTGAGGGGCCGGCCCGGACGTGGGTGGGAGCGGTGAGCGCGGCGGGACTCCCGAGCCCGTCCCATCCYCAGGGGCTGCCGGTGGGACTCATCCCCTGATCGCCCCCCGCTTCTCTTGCAGAGCTGAACGCGGCKCCGGGACGCGCCCCGCGGCAGCAAGTCCGCTTCCTACCGACCCCGGCCGCGGACGGCAGCGGGGCCGTGGAGCTGGTGGCTGCCAGGGTGCCGGTGCTGGCTGACCAYCCCCTCGGTAAGGGCACAGCGGGGCCGGGGCCGGGGGAGGTGAGTGCGATTGGAGCCCCGGGCAGGCGCTGCGGACCGGCTCCAGCACTGTCTCCGTTTCAGTCCGAGGCCCGCGGTTCAGGARGCTGAAGATCGGAGCGGGTCACCGGCTGGATGTGAAGTCCTCRGGAGTCTTCGGTGGGTCTCGTACCGGAGCAGCACCGCGTCCTGCCGRCTGCGAGGTTACGGATTTCCACGCACAAGAAGCGGTGGATGCTCGGTCATTGCATTAATGCAGCCCCTGGATCTCACAACCCCACTGGGAGTTTAAGTGCTAAAACACAGAATAAATGTCGCAGCAACCTGCTGGCAAAGCCAAATGGGAGAGACCCTTCACCCCCAGCACATGGGGTTTTGCTGGAGGACACCAATCTTGTTCTCTGCTCCACCATCTGAATTGGCTTCTCTGTGGCTGGCACTGCTGAGCATTTGCMCASAGTAYCCAGGTGGAAAGTTCTGGGGAAATYGAAGAGCTCTGGTTACAGCCTTAKGGTTTTCAGGCCAGCCAATAACCTGGGAGTCTAACTGCTCGGACATGGCTCCTAAGGAGATACAGCCCTGTCCAAAGGGCAGGAGTGGTGTGAGTGTGCAGTGCTGTGTAAATGCATATCAGTGACTTTTTGTGAGGCTGAATAACAGGTTCTCCATTTTCTRTGTTTCAGTGCTTGGCATTGGCCATGGGAACAAGCTGCTTACTGATCTGTACAACTGCCACCTGACCAAGGTTGGTGCTGGCTCTGAACAGGCCCCAGAGCCTGGAGTGCCATTGCATGCTTGATCCTGATCCTGCCCCACTGCCCTATGTCAGCCTTGTCACAGTGATTCTGCTCTTGAGTCTCAAACCTACCAACGCTTTTGAGAGCTTTGCAGGGTCCAGAGTTTCATCTTTCACATGAGCATCCACCTGTGACCTTTTGAGCAGAGGATGCTGCTGTCTTTTTGTGCAACACTCATAGCCTACACTTCTGGCAGCTGCATGGTGCAATACTGCTGCTCAATTGCCTGGAGTATTTTTTTGATAAATTGCACTCCTTGTCCTTCTTCCAGGTTTATACTGTTGGTGGGCTTTTTGGTAAAGCCACTGATGACTTCTCAGACACGGGGAAGTTAATAGAGAAGACAACATTTGGTAAGAAACTGATTTTTTTTTAAACAGAACAGATTAACAGCAGATTAACTGCAAAGCATTTAACCAGGTGAATTGCACAATGACAAAAGCTACACCTTGCATGTCTTCTAGTCCCTGTTGTTGTTGTAGTCCCTGTGTTCTAAATCTAACCACAATGTATACAAAGCCAGTGTGAATGCTGATCATGGTGGTTGCTGGGCAGGATCCAGATCTCCCTGTAAATCAGAGATATYAGTTGGAGATAGCAGTTAGATTTCCTTGAATGAAAACATACGATAAGAAAACTGGAGCATCCACATTTTGAAATCAGTTAAGTGAAATAACTCTTTCCTTTTCAGTCCAGCTCTGTGCTGCTCCATGYAGAGCCAGGAGAAGTGACTTTGCAAAGGCCACCCTTCAGCTCTCATCAGCCCCTTTTGATGTGACTGCCTGCTTGAGGGACAGCAATACCTCAGTGGCACATTTCAGACTTTCCAGTTTCTGGATGGATAATTGAGACTTTGTTTCTGTCTTAATATTTGCAGATCATGTCACAAGGGAGAAGTTGGAACGGATTCTCGCTGTCATTCAAGGGACAAATCAAAAGGCCCTGCTGATGTGCGTATCCACCGGGGAAATGAGCTGATCTGATCCCACTGCCATTCATTGGTCTTCAAAAAAAAATGAGGGGATTTTGTTTTCTATAATCGAAGTCTTTAAAGGTTTGAGTGCTAGCCAGGGGCAGAGAGGAGTTACTCTGAGTGCTCTGTGCTCGGGTGAGAGGTTGCAGTTAAATGTCCTTCTTGTATTCCAGAATCTCCAGCTGGTTTAGGACCAATCTGATACATTAGGGCTGACAAAAATGTCTTGTAGACATGACCAAGTACCTCCTTCCCAAACTGTGCTACACTATTGATAATACATACACTGCTAAAATACATGCAAAAACTTAACAGATAGTTTTAAAAATAAAAATTGCACCTCTGTTCTTTTGGGGAATGGAGATAATATGAGTCTCATTGGAGAGAAGTACTAAATGTCTGTCCTGGTCCTATTTTTCTTTTTCTAGGTATTCCAACATTGATATGAAAACACAAGAGGCATACGAGCTGGCTGTCAAAGGGTTGATTCGTCCCATGGGAAAAAGCCCCCCAATAATCACAGCTGTTCGATGCCTCCAGTTTGCACTTCCAGAATTCCAGCTAGGTAGGAGTGGCACAGAATGTACTGGGGAAYATATACTGGGAGTATGTATTGTGGCAAATAAGTTGGTACTCTTGGTTTTCTTACTCATGATTTAATGCAAGATGAGTTGGTGGGGATTTCTTAACAGCTCATAATTCTCTGGTAGATCAAGCCAGCTCAGTTTTTTCCTTGCCAGTTCAGATCTAAGCCCAAGGCTGGAAAATTTGCATCATGAATACCCATGGGGGAAATTCTTCTTGGCTCAGTGTTTCAGTGTAATGCATTTCAGTGCTGGGTTTTGGGGGTTTTATTGCCCTCCTGCAGCCAGTCCCCTTTTCCTCACATACTATTTGTTTTATTAAAAGGATGCCTTTTTTATCCCCTTTGAAATACCTAAATTTCTATGTTACTCTCCTATATCTATGGGTTTGTTTCTAAGGTATTCACTTTGGAAGGGTGTAGAACACGCTGCAGTATTGCACAAAATCATACCACACTTGATCTTAAATAGAGTCCTCTGCCAAACCAGTTYTTTCAGCGTAACTGTGAGTGATATCTGGATTTACAAAGTCAGAGCTTGTGTCAAAGCTTTGCTTCTTCTGAAAGGATGTCTCTGTCATCCTAGAAATCCATTGCTTGCATGAGACTCAGCAGTACCTCCGGAAGATGGTTCACGAGATTGGTCTGGAGCTGAAATCCTCTGCTGTGTGCACCCAAGTGCGGAGAATACGGGACGGGGTTTTCACGCTGGATGATGCTCTCCCGAGAACCCGGTGGGACCTGCAGAGCATCCGGGAGGCAATTCRGAACTGTCAGCTCAAAGTGGAAACAGAGCTGGAGAAAACACTGGGACAGGGGGAGAACAGTCCCCTTCATCAGCTGGATGGGTACACAGCTGAGCGTGCTCCGCAGGAGCATCCACAAGCAATCCCTGCAGCACAATATGGCAGTGAAGTGCCAGCAGCGTGATGGACAGCAGAAGCAAAGAGGTTAATTGCAGTTCACTTCCASCCTTTCCTTGAGATGGCTTTTATCAGAGGTTTTTTTTTTCTTCAGTGACAGGCTGTATCATTTTCTTTAAAGCATCACAAACAGTTCATTAATAGGAGGTAGCTGTGCCAAAATTCCTGTTGACTTTGAGAACATTAGGTTGCTAAGGGATATAAAAACCCATTCCTGAATTGTTTAKCAGCAGGAAGTAGTGTCTTAGAGAGCTGTATTCCCTTGACTGCACAGATTTGTTCCTTGCAACTGGCAGCATATCTTACCTGCTATATGGATTTTATTTTCCCTGTGTTCTCCTAGAATATTTTGTTTCCATTAGCCCTGCTCTCAGACACATGAGAGCTCAAAATCAGGCTAAATGAGGGCTGTGCAGAAGAAAACACAGCTTACCCAAAGCAATGCAAGGAAATGGTTTTATCCAGAGCAGGCATCTGTGATGAAAASTGGCTTGTAATGGGAACTAATGCACAGGATACACAAAAAATAAAACTGAAAATGACCTCATAGAGAAGAGGTTGATTCTTGCCTCAGTACTTACAAATGTACATTGACCCATGAAAAACCCCAGCATGTGCTACTTTTTTTTACCCTTTTTTTTTTGTCCTGAGGAGCCAAGGATGTTCACTAGTCTCTGTATCCTGCCCTTGCAGACAGCATGTCCTGCCCTATGGTGAAACTGTGAACTCTGTGACACCATTTGGTCTCTGTTAGCTCATTATAGCAGGGTCTGACTTAGCAGAAACACACTTTCTAAATTTAAGTTARAAATCTGGAATTGCATTTACCATTATTACACTCAGTCATTTCCCAGCTATATACCTAGTTAGTTTGGAGATTTATTTATAGAAAGCAGGAGATTTGTTCTGTTCCACTCCTTGGACAAAGGCCAGCATATTTCATCCTCCAGGTGACAGCCATAAAGGCACAACAGTAATTCTGGGAGGGGCAGTCACAGGGACCATGATGAAGTATCTCAGTGGCAGTGTGCAGTCCTGTCCCAAAGCATCCYGAGTCCTTAACTTAGTCCCTGGAATCTTTCAGTTCTGGATTCCTCTGCACAGAAGCAGCCAGAACAGCCGTGGAACGCAGCTGCCACCACGTGGCAGAGCCACCATGCCAGCAGCAGGGACTCCCCAAGGATACTGTGCCCTGTTCTCAGGTTGTTCATCCTCCATGGACAAGGGATTAGGATCAGGGGACCTTCCCTGGACATGTGCCCGATGCTCCCTCAAGTGTAAACTCATTGCAAAACCAATTTCTAGTGGTGTGTGTCATTGTCAGAGGAACGTTTTGGTTGGAACACTGCAGGCTGAACCAGTCCTTCCACATGGGAAATACCAGGCAAAACAGCAACTTCAATAACAAAGTTGGCATTTCCCAGTTCTTGCCACCTTGTGATTTTTTTCCTCCCCTTAAAACTACTCCAAAACACAGGAGTTTTACACATTTGGCAGAGGGGTACATGTGGGGGGGATATTCTTGTAAACAGTCCCCTGAGAATCAATTCTGATCTGGCCACAGCAAATATCCTGGACAGCTGCACATCAGCAGAGACTTGCTTGGATGAATCATGGTATCAGGATCTGTCTGTCCCCCTGCGTGAGACCACTCCCCACAGCTTTTGAGGCAAAACAGACACTTATTGGTGATGTTGCTGTGCCACATCCAGAGCCAGGGGTGCAAAACCAATTAGGAGCAGCCTTGTGACTGGTTTCTGGCTTTCAATCACAATGAAGATAGATGAATTAGATTAAAATTTGGAAGTCACAAGCAGATTTCAGCATGGGCCTAACTGGAGACCACAGGGGAAACTTACTGGCTAAAAGATCTTGGAAAGTAGGAATGGGTAGAAGGACATCAAGCCTGACTGAAAAGAGGACAATAGATCTGCAGTGAGCAGAGCACTTCATCACTTCAACTGCCCAAAGCAGCCAAATTTAGTCTGTGCAATGACTCTTAGCCCTGATGCTGACATTGAAACCCTCGTGCTCCCAACATTATCCATTGTCCAGGACAGTGCTCGCTCCCATCGTGACTCTGCACTTAGAGGAGAAAAAGGTCATTCTGCACCTGGACATTCTTGGACAAAACATTTGAATAACAAATGGTAGTTATCTCAATATAGTTTTTTCCCAGGTTCATACCATGTTTTATAGGCTTTTAAAGTGAATTACTGACAGATGTGAAGGCTGCTTTATTCAGAATAGACACTTGGACACAACTTGACATTTTACCGTTTACTACAGAAATGATACARAATCTCCAGATACCAGAGCAGGTAAAGACAAAAATGCAGAACACCCAGACTTCTCTGGATTTGGTGATAAAACAAAACCCCCCAAACCACCACAATTTCAGCCTTCTTCCCTCCCTACTTCTGAGGGTTTTCCTTTCAAAGCAGCTATTACATTGCACATTTGTATGTCCTCCCTCTATCCATTCAGTAACCAAACAGCCCCTGGGAACTGCAGGGAATCAAAGGCTCCATGGAAGAGGCTCAACATCAACCTGAATTACAGCCTTTCAGAAAAAAAAAATCCTGTTGTTCAGGCAGTACACAGAATTATCTAAAATCCTACATCCCTTTTCCAAAGGTTCCTTTTTGACTTTCTGTCTCTTCTCAGCCAGGATGACACCAACATGTAATGGCCCAGTGACAGTCACTTCTGCAGGACATGGCAGTCTCCAGGTTYAGGACTAATCACTGAGCTCCAGGTCATACTCAGGATAGAGCTGTTTTGTGGTGACCCCTCGGATAACAGCTAGGGAACAAAGAAACAGCATKGCCTTCATTAAGCAAAGATCAGTCAGAAATGTGTTTTCCTCCCCTAATTATCCCATGGCACATCCCATAGGCAAGAAACCAAGGTTTTGCAGCTRTGCCTCCTGCTTGTCCAAATGCTTTTTTTAAAGTGAAGAATCTGTGATACAAGCTTTACCTCCATAGTGCAGCAGCTTCTCTCTGTGTATGAAAACACTGATTAAAAAAACAGCTTTCCCTTCCTTACCCAACTTGCCCAGCAGCATCTGTCCAGCATCTTTGATTTCATTGTACTCATGAAGCAGAGAGATGTGCTTCTCCAGTTCCTCCAGGCTGTAGCCCCTGTAAAATAACACCAGAAAGGTCACAAATGACACAGAGGGACTGAGGACTCCTGCTGCTGTGGGAGATACCTAAGCCTGGCACCTCAAAAGCAGAAACAACACAGCAAGTGCAGTTCTGCAAGCCATAAACATGACAGTTGCAAATAAGCTTAAAAAAGCCAATTTGCCCAAGTTCTCAGAATCAAGTAGAACCAAGAGTAGGGTGTGGTGAATTCCATTGATATGTATCTCTAGTCTGTAGGTAGGGGAAAAAAAATAAGAATCACAGAGTCATTTAGGATGGAAAAGACCTCCAAGACCATCAAGTCCAACCTTTGGCCAAACATCACCATATTAACTAAACCAGAGCACTGAATGCCATGTCCAGGCATCTCTTGAACACCTCCAGGGACCATGACTYCATCACCTCCCTGGCCAGCCCATTCCAAYRTTTAATCAMCCTTTCACCMTCCTGATGYCCAACCTGAAGTTTTCCTGGCACAGCCTGAAGCCATTTCCTCATCYTCTTGCTAGGTCTGTTTATCCTTGAGGGTGAATCAAAAAGGGTTCTGAAACAGCATTTGTTGTTCTACCATTTCCACACTATGCACTATACTTACCTTACAAAATACCAATCCTTCACAACAAATAAAAAATTGCTAAAATTATCTGTTCCCAGTTAACACATAATTACCTCAGGAACACCCAGGCTAAAGCTAAAATCCTTTTATGCAACTTCCTATTAAAACTTGTTTTGCTTTACCACATAAAGTGGAAAGAACTTCCTCTTGTCTCTAACAAGTCCCATCACTTGTAACAACACTGTAACCAACATTGCACCATGCCAACAATGCCATCATACAAGGTCAGCTCTCAGCTCCAGATCCTGGACATGTTGTTTTAAAAACAAAAATAATTGAGGCATCACAGTGAAAAAATGAGCTTGCCAAGGACATACTCGGACAATAATTGTGCAATTTCCTGGTCTAGAGCAAGGTTCTTCTGTTTCAGCTCTTCGATTTCACACTGCAGAGCTTCTTCGCTGGTCCCATTAGGCTGGAAGGACCTTGGAGACAGGATCTGTAGAGCACAGAAAACATTTAGCAGGAACTCAGCTCTGGAGAAGATGCTCGGACACTAACGGGAAAATAGTGTGTGTCACTGGATAAAACAGGAGAARAGAGAAAAGGAAAAGAAATATTCCCAGGATAGGGAGGGAGGGCCTTAAGTAAAATATGGATCAGTGTACGTAACGTTAGCCTGCTCCATATCACATCCTACAGCACTCTGGAGAGTTACATGAAGTGAAAATAATTAATTAAAAGTCACAATCTGCCTTTTAGGAGAAGCTCCCAGGACGACACACTGCAAACTACCGGGCCGGCACTAACTCAGGGAACCAGCAACTTCACCCTCAAGGAAAAACCCTCCCACGGGCTGGGCTGAGCCGCCGCGAACGGGCSAGGGGCTACCTGGGGACAGGACAGAGGCGGCTCCGGGGAGCCCSTGCACAACTCACCGGTGGCCTGAACCCGACCGTGCCGCTCCTCCGGCCACCGCCCGAGACCCTGGCAAAGCAGAGGGCGCCGCGTCAGGGGCCGGTGCCACCGCCACCTCGGCGGGGACACGGCCCGGGAGGGGAGTGGGAGCGGGGGACCGGCTCGTACCTCCTGGGCAGGGCCCGCAGCGGCGGCTGGTGGAGCGGGCTGCGGCCCGCGCTCGGCGGGACCGGCTSGGCCAGGGCTGAGGGCTCCGCGCTGGGACTCGGGGCTCTGGCGGCACCGGAGAGTTGAAGTCCCGCCGCCGCGGAACATGCCGGGACTTGTAGTCCATCCGCCGCTAGGCACACCAGGAGTTGTAGTCCTGCCGCAGAGGGGCACGCTGGGAGCTGTAGTCCTCTGCTGGGCCCGGTCGTGGTAGGGCTGCAGGTGACATTGGGTGTGACAGAACACAATTGTCCCAATGGCCGAAACCAAGGTGGTTACATTCAGTGCCTCCGAGACGCCTCAGCCCCTGAGCTCAGCCAGGACAGGGATCCGGGGATCTCCGGGTCACTCACACACAATCACAGAATGGGAGAATCAATCAGGTTCGAAAAGACCTCCGAGATSATCGGGTCCAACCTGTGGCCGAACACGACCATGTTAACCAGACCACGGCACTGGGTTCCACGTCCAATCTTTATCSTTAAACACCTCCGCAGTTTATTTTACCAAGGTGAGGCTGCCTACACCCTCAGCTGTCCCTGTCTCCCACTGGGCCACCGCAGCTCCCTCCGGGCCTGGGCTCCTCMAGCCCCTCAGAGCGGCTCGGAAAGCGCTGGAGCCGTGTCCCACCGCGCTCGGGCCCGGCTGGCGCAGGGAGCCGTGTCCCTGTGAGCGCCGCGTCCAGCGCTGGGGCTGCCCGAGCCTTTGCTGCTGCCGTGCTTGGAAAGTCAAAGGATTTGGGATCACACACAGCAACCCCGCTGCCTACGCTGCCCGCGGGCTCAGAGGCAGTGCTCGGGTACTCAGGGCAGAACGCGAGGCGGGTGTACGGAACGCGCCCCGCAAAGGCGAGGGAAGCCCGGTTGGCTCYTCTCGGCGTTACTCTGGGCTGTCGGGTCACTACAGCAGCGGGACAGCGCCGGGTGTCACACAGGGGTCGGGGTGTCCCGGGGCGGGAGTGCCCCAGCGGGGCCGGGCTGTCCCGCGGTGTCACCCCGGGGTGTCCCGGGGCGGAGCGGGGCCGGCCGGGGGAGGAGCCGCCACCGCCCCCGCCGCTCCCGGCGGGCTGACGTGGCCCGGGCGCGGGGCGGACATGGCGGACGGCAGCAGGCAGAGCCGGTTGGCCGCGGCCAAGAAGAAGGTGAGGGGCCGGGGGACCGGGCAGGACGGGACACGACGTGATGGGGCTGAGGGTGGGTGCGTTCCGTGGGCCCCGCGCG